CGGGAGCACTCCTTCGGAGGCTCCCACCACTCAGCTAGGGGAAAATGGTGCCTATGGGGAAAACATCGCAAAGCGATTTTTCCCCATAGGCAACATCGGTATGCGATCGCATCGGTATGCGAATTCATCGTTAAACGGGGCACTCGTTATACGAGGCACCACTGTATATATTTAAAGAATAGCCTTTAATGTATAGCCTTGCATTAGCTTCTCTATGATAGCCTTCTCCTTGCTTTGCTAAAAAAAAGCCACTTCGAAATGCCAATTGTTTTGACATCTTTTTCTTAACAATTTATTTTCCCTTTATATTGGCTGTTAGCAATATTATGATTTTTTTTACTGTAGCTTCCAGAGTTTACCAAGAATTATCCAGGTGGGATTCAGGGAGATGCAACCAAAAAAAAATCAAAAGTCTACAGACCAGCTTTTCTAACCACCATGGGTGCCTCTGTCAGCATCATGTTCTTTTGAAAATCAAGGAAATTGCCCTAGTGCTTTATGAAAGGCTTAATATGGGTTCATAAGGCTTCACTAGAGGCTAGTCTCACTGCCCATTAGGCTCTATAGAAAGCACTTCCCAAAGAACTACCCCTCTCATGAAACTTCCATATTAGACACTGGTGCGATCTTATTTTTGAAAAGAGAATTAGGTATATCAACAGAGACACACACGGAGCTGAGACAAGTCAGTCTGTAGGCTTCTGGGTTTTTGGCTGCATCTCCTAGAAATCTGCCTGGGAAATTTATTGGCAAATTCTGGGAGCTGGAGTCCAAAAAATGTGGAAGTCCCATCCCTAGTCATGATCCAGCAAGCAAGTGTAAAGCAACAGTCTTTTTAAAAAAAAGAATAGTAATTTTGGTGGCTGGTTTTAGAGGGAAAAAAATATGAAATCCTTTTCTAACATGTTAGTTTTATTACTGTTTCTGCTATATCCATGACAAATCCTAGTATTTCCTCATAATGAGTCAATCCACAAAAATTACTCATACCACATACCTGAATCATCCGCTAGCCTGCAGACTCTTTCCAATACAGCAATACAATCTCTTTCATCATCACTCACTTCCTTCAAAGTGTCCAATAAACTTCGAGCCACCATTTGCCTAGAATATGAAAGAATATCATACACTGCAAGAAACAATTCATATATCCCAAATCATTTTATTGCAGTTGTGTCTTTACCATCTCCAAAGAAATGAAGGCAATAAATACTACATATCCTACTTTGCCCTCCCACAAACCATATAAAATTAAGCTGGGGGACTGTGACTTGCCCTGATCTTCATGGTTATGCAGCAACAAAACCCAGATTTCCTTGGTTCAAGATTTTATCCACTAAACCAGACAGGGCCTAATTCCCATACATTTTTAAAAGAAATTCACATTAATATTATAGGAGAAAATACTAGAATTATACCAACTTGTATTCTAAGGGATAAGAATACAGAACACACACAAAAATAGATACAAATCTGCCTTGGAATTCAACAACTTAGCAGTTACCTACATACAGTATATACTTTCCTGTTTCAGATAAGAGACTGAACATTGGAACAAACAATTATAGACATGTACATATCCATTAAAAATATTGTATGCCAAACTGTAATTGATCCTTAAACATACTTACATCTGGGAAAAGAAGAAAGCATTACTATTTTAGTGGAAACATCATATATCTAAAAGTAACACTGAAATAATGCTTGATGGCTTGAGGAAGAGGGAATGTACCAAACTGAAGAGCAGAAAGTGGTGCCTCGCTAGACAGTTACCCCGCATGACAGTTTTTCCCCTAGACATCGCCTTTTTGCAATCACTATAGTGATTCGCAAAACAGTGATTCCTATGGGGGAATTTTGCTGGACAATGTTTGGTCCCTGCGTCGCAAACCAATTTTCGCTAGACGATTTTGACAGCTTCCTCCGTGCTCGCAAAACAGGTGTTTTCGGGACCTAAGCTTCGCAAGACAGCAATTTAAACAGCTGATTGGCAGTTCGCAAAGCAGCTTTCCTATGGCCGATATTCACTAGACAACGACGATTCTTCCCCATTGGAACACATTAAACAGGTTTCAATGCATTCCAATGGGGAAATGCTTTTCGCTAGACAATGATTTCACTAAACAGCGATTTCAGTGGAACGGATTGTCATCGACTAGCGAGGCACAACTGCATTATTGATTTATTTCACATAATGCCCTTGAAAAAAGACTAAAATTTCTCCAGCACACAAAAATGAATTATCTTTAAAAGCATCTTACTAAAATATATACTTTAATTCTTTTAGGATTACCGGTAAATATCATACCTATTAAAAATATTCTCACTTGCAGCGTACTTGTCCAATCTTCCCAGAGGTGTCAACATTTCATCTTGTGAGACAAAGTCCAAGGCTGAAGGTATAATAATCACATCAGACTCTGAGCTGTAGTCATCCACACCAACTATCAGAGACATCAGAAATATTCCTTATAATCACACTTTTATGCTTCAAAAGAGAAGGCTGCCTATTGCTAACAACAACAAAAACAAAGGAAGCTCTACACAATAATGCGCTTTCTAAAAATCTTGGGCTCCTCTACAGTATGTCTGGTTTTAAAACAGACTTATATGCTGGGCACACGTCAGTCACATGGCCAGTTGTATTCCCAAAAGCACCATCAGCACATATGCTGCTGCACCTCATCAATGAATGAATGAATGAATGAATGAATTAGCCACAGCAACCAATGTGATCCTACATGCACATGTATACATTCCAAGAGTATTTTCAGTATTGTTCTTTAACACTGTTCTCACTTTCTTGTTTACGTATCATTTGTTCTCCAATTTGCCAAGTTCCATATTTTGACATTTCAGGGTGTATACAACATTGCTTTATAAATACATTAAATCACTGTTAGCTTTCTGGTGATTAACTGCTTAACTAATAGCTTTTGAAAGCATCTAAACAGCCCCCCCCAAAAAAAACCAGAACAACAATCTTTGCAGTATAATAATTTGTAGACAATATATATGTGAACCTCTGACATCAAAAGCCTAAAGTTGCAGTTTCACTCAAACCAATAGGTTAACTGCCTCCTTTACCCATGAAACATTCAAGAGAGGATACATGTTACTTTATATTACCCTCATATTTTACGTAGCAAAAATAATTGCTGCAAATGACATTTTCTACTAATTTATTCTCTTCCAATATGTATTTGGAACTATAAACTTCCTAGAGGTTACACTATGATTATATTAGTAAGTCCACACATTTCCAGTTCATCCCCCAACCCTTGCTATTCTGTAATGTCACTGTGCCAAGAAATAAAGAATGAAAAATCAGGCACGAATTCACTTCCTTTAGATTTAAATCCAATCTGTTAACACATGCTTCTTAAAAATTGTGGCCGCTTTAAAATAAAAATGCACACATACAAATCAAGAGAACATACAGACAATAATAATTCCACATCCAAGAACAGTTGGAATCAAATGAAGTGAAAAAGCTCTCACCTATACAAAACAGAATGATTTAAGCATGGCAGCACAATACATACATGCTATGATGCAAAGCACATTGATTTCACTATATCACACTGGCTCTCCCTAGATGCCAATACTGTACTAGAAATACAGAAATTCAAAATGAAATTATATTTGATTGAGATTAACCATTATTACATTATTGAAAAAAGAAAACACAAAAGCCCGCAGTGACTCCAAATGATAGTTTAATAAGCCACTTAATTTATGCTTTAAAGATTAAACATTGCAGAATTTAAAACAAATGTAAAGAAAGGACAGAATACATGAGATTTGGATTCAAAGGAGGATTTGGAACTAGGGAAAAAATGTTCCCATGTGAACGTGGGAAGAGATGCCCGATATGAACAAGGATATGTACACTGGCACTACTAATTGTTACAAAGTCCTTGACAAAGACGAACATGGCAAACTGACAGAGCTATTGTTAAGCAATGGTCTTCAAGAAATATTTGTATAATTGGCAAGCTTTACTGCTAAAAAATAAGCTACTAAAAAGATAAAAATCAGAAGACAGAGAACACAGAGGTACAGAGTACAAGAATGTATACTCTTGCCACAACTTTTCAATTTGTACCTTAAGAACATATTTGCAGAAGCACTTACTAATAGCATCATTCCCAAGGCTGAAGTTACCAGTAGGCAACACAGTATGTCTACCTGACGATTTTGATTGTCTACAAAGGTAAATTAAGCAATAAACATAGTCTAAAACTCAGGGTGGATCTCATTTAACTCAAATTGATTTAAATCACTATTTAAATCACTTAAGCATTTTATTTTTAAAAAATCTAACTTAAATAAAAAATCAATTTTTCATTTTTATTTAAATTGGATTTTTAAAATATAGTGCTTACTGACTAGTAAATTAAATCACAATTTAAATGATTTGATTTAAATCAAATCCACCCTGATAAAAAAGAATGTTAAGACAATCACATTAAAACAAGCAGCCTAAAGAATGTTAATGATTCAAAAAGCCATGCAACAGAAGTCACAATAAAGATGATCCAGAGCAGCTTCCACAAGATGAAGAATATATTATGTAGCAAAACCTTAAAACTAGCTTTTGAGAATGTGTGATGTACTGAGCTATGTATTCTTGGTTCTATTGGATGGCATAGAACCATGTATTTTATCAAAGGCAACTATAAAAAGAACAGAAGAAATGTGGATTTATTGAATGATGCTTAGAATTCCTTGCCCTGAGAAGGTTAGCAACAAAAAAATATTAAAATGAATGAATAAATACCTAAATATTAAAACAAACATGAAAAAGAAAGTAGAATATTTTAATCATGTAACAAGAAACAAAATGTAAAGATTGTTACAGTGAACCACTGAAAATAAAATAAATGGGAAAAGAAGAGCAGCAAGGAATAAAAGATGGAGACTGGTCTGGACACAGCAGAATATCATTGTTTATAGCTGCCACATCTGAAGTGTATGCATATAGCAATGATGATGCCCAGTCTTTGGCAGGGAAGAAACAACAGCTGCACTATTTTACTTCAGTTTTTCTTAGTTACTGGAAAACTCCTCAGATATTTTAAATACCATGTAAAATTAAGATGTCATCATTCCTTAGGTTAGACACAGTGTTCACTCACTATGATCTCTTACTGACTGAGGGCAAGAAAAAATTTCCAGAAAATTTAAATGACTTTTTGAGAGCAAAAAGCTCTTTCTCTACTACCTGGTAGTGACTACACTAAGGCAGCAATCCTATACAGGTTCCCTTACAAGTCCAAATAGGATCAGTAAGGCTTACTTCCAGGCAAGGTGGTGAAGGGTTACATCTTAATACATCATAAAACAGGCATGTTGCTTATACCTATCTGGTATACCTGCCTTTCTGCATGCAAATGATGGGCTATACCACTGAATTATGGCGCTTTTCCAGAGAACTTGCTACCCCGGAAACACAGAGAAGCACTGAGCTCCCTACTTTTCCTGGCTATTCTTAAACAATATTGAACATCTAAAATTTGACATCTTAATCTTTTCTGTACACACTGAGTGTTTCTCAATAATTTGTTCACAGCAGGGACAGTCTTGAAGCCATACAGAAGACAGACCACGTACTCGCCACAGAGATTTCCTTAGCAGAAGCCAACAGCTGGCTTTTCTGCAATGTACTAGCATCTGATGAACAAAGCAGGGCGAATACTAGAAAGTGTTCTAGGAAAAATCCTGAGCACACACCCAAATTATTTCAATATATACAGCTTACAGGCACAATCGAGCACTACCACCACCACATTACAGGGTGCAGTTAAAAAGAAATGGACTAGTCTGTGACTTCTGAGTTTATTTTCAACTCCATTTGCTACGATGCTTCAGGATATACAATAACAGAAATAAACACACAGGTGTTTTTAAATATTGCAGATTTCTGTAACATTATCTATTTCAGCAGCAATCCTGCTAAGCTTGATTAATATCACTTGGACATGTATTTAAGCACTAACAAAAATTCAGCAAGATATCAAAAACATGCAAGTACCAACTAGCTCCAAAAAAGTAGATGATCCTGATTCCTCTGGTGAGCTGCCATCAATAGGATCTACTTCTGCCATTCTAACTGTATTGTCTCAGTTCACCATTCTGCCTTGATTGGAGAATCCAAGCTAGCAAGCACTCTCTAGCACTGTCTTCTTACAGCAGCAGTGCTTGTACGCAGTCAGAAAAAGCACCTTCCATTGTTGTGTCCTTTTTGTGTCTACAACAAGAAGAGGAAATCAACCATTTCCCTATCTGACCTCTTTTCAGATAGAAGAAAATTTCAGTTGTCTCTTCCTGATCTCTTTCTTATTTTACACTCTAGCTTTACACTGTAGATGCTCACTGACTTCCTGTTACTAACTTATGGTACGTACATCATAATGGGGTACCTGATGCATGATTAGGGCTTTCTGGTATTATCATACATTACTAAGGCTCCCAAGTCTCTTCCCAAGAGCCAACTGCTACAAGCATTCACAAAATACTAGTTAATTCATGCTTCTAGCGAAAAGATACATGTTAACCTATTACAGTGGTGCCTCACTTAACGGGTGCTCCATTTAGCAACGAAACCACATAGCGATGAAGATTTTGCGATCGCAAAAGCGATCGCATTGCGATGTTTTAAATGGGTTTTTTTTGCTTTGCGATGATTGGTTCCCTGTTTTGCTTACCAATCATCTATTTAGATTAGATTAGGCATTCTTCAGTCTCAAGAGACTATGGTAACGTGCTCGGAATAGAGGACTTGGAACAGCAACTAGTGTGGCTGAGGAGGCCAGTTCGAGAGTGACAATCCCTTCCACACTCAAGACAAATACAATCTGTCCCCTGTCCAGCTCCTTGGTTTGGCTGGTTTCAGGATTGCCTCTTTGCCTCAGCCTGTTGGACAAGTGACTCTTCAAAATGGGAGAGGCTATGATGCACTGCCTGCCTCCAGGCTGAGTGTTCAGATGTCAAAGTTTCCCATCTGTTGAGGTCCATTCCTAAGGCCTTCAGATCCCACTTGCAGATATTGTTGTATCGCAGCTGTGGTCTCCCTCTGGGGCGATTTCCCTGCACTAATTCTCCATACAGGACATCTTTTGGAATCCAACCATCAGCCATTCTCACGACATGCCAGAACCAACATAGACACCACTGTTTCAGTAATGTATACATGCTAAAAATTCCAGCTCGTTCTAGGACTTTGTCCTGTCAGGCGATTCCAAAAAATGTGTTGGAGACAATGCATATGGAACATGTTCAGCTTCCTCTCCTGCCGTGCACAAAGGGTCCAGGACTCACTGCAGTACAGGAGTGTACTCAGGACACTGGCTCTATAGTCCTGGATCTTGGTATATGCCGTCAGCTTCTTATTAAGCCATACTCTGTGAGTTTAGAGAACATGGCAGCTGCTTTGCCAATG